GTCGGATTCTTGACTCAACTCTTATTGCTTGCAAATGTGTGGACACGAGGCTAAGGAGCGGTGTTCCAGGGGTTCTTTGCAAGCTTGATGTTGAGAAAGCCTATGATCATGTGAGTTGGAAGTTTCTGTTGTTTTTGATGGAGAGAATGGGGTTTGGGGACAAATGGAGGCATTGGATTGAAGCCTGTATTTCTTCAGCTAGATTTTCGGTGATGGTTAATGGGTCTCTAACTGGTTTTTTTGGTAGTTCGAGAGGTTTGCAATAGGGGGATCCATTGTCTACTTTTCTATTCATTATTGTTATGGAGGCCTTGAGTAGGTTGATAGGGAGGGCGGTGTAGTTGGGTGCGGATGTTGCTCATCACCTGGAGATATCTTGCTTATTGTTTGCGGATGATACTTTGGTGTTCTGCGAGGCGGAGGTGTCCCAAATAAGGTACTTGAGGTCGGTGTTGGTTTGTTTTCAGGCGGTCTCAAGCTTGAAAAGTAAATGTAGGGAAGAGTGCTTTGATTCCAGTGGGGGAGGTGCATAATATAGGTAAGTTAGCCTCTATTCTTGAATGTGGAATTAGTAGCTTTCCAATTACATACTTGGGGTTACCTTTGGGAGTTTCTTCGAGGACTGTGGGTGTTTGGGATCCAATGGTTGAGAGGGTTCAAAGGAGACAGGCAGGGTGGAAGAAGTAGTACTTATTGAAAGGTGGGAAGGTCACTCTTTTGAAAAGTACGCTTTCAAGTATTCTTACATATTTTCTCTCTTTTTTTTTTTTTTTTTTCAGATTCCATCCGTGGTTGCTACTTCGATTGAGAGGCTTCAGCGGAACTTTCTATGGGGTGGTTTACAAAGCGAGTTTAAGTATCACCTTATCCGTTGGGAGCAAGTTTGTAGGCCGATTCAGGCTGGAGGTTTAGGGTTAAGGAGGCTAGTGTCATTTAACAGGGCGCTCCTAGGTAAGTGGTTGTGGAGGTATGGAGTGGAATGCTATAGGTTGTGGAGGAGGGTTATTTTGTGCCGGTTTGGGGGGGGGGGGGGGGTGTTGGTTAGGATTCCTGGTGGTGTTGGTGTTTGGAAATCCATTAGAAAATGATGGAATGAGTTTTGGAATGAGTTTTCAAAACACATCAAATTCAGAGTTCAGGATGGTAGGGACGTATGCTTTTGGGAGGATCTTTGGTGTGGGGATTGTTCTTTGGCTTGTTCTTTTCCCAGATTGTTTAGGATTGCTGGTGACAGGCATGCCTCGGTTGCAGACTGTTATCAGCTTGATAGCGGGAGGTTGACTTGGGATGTGCGGTTTGTGAGAGCTTTCCAGGATTGGGAGTTGGACGACATTTGTGGGTTGCTAGAGTCCTTGTATCGGCATGAGAATTGTGGCAGAGGTGGAGATTCGCTTGTCTGGGTGCCTTCTGCTCGGGGAAGGTTTGAAGTGAGTTCATTTTTCCATTGCCTCGCAAATTTTACAGGGATTACGTTTCCATGGAAAACAGTGTGGAGATCTAAGGTGCCACTCAAAGTGGCTTTCTTTACGTGGACAGTGGTGTGGGGCAAGATTTTGACGCTTGACAATTTGAGGAGGCGAAGACAAATAATAGTTAACTGGTGTTGTATGTGCAAATGTAATGGAGAATCGGTGGATCATCTTCTTTTGCACTCTCCAGTGGCTTTTGACTGTCGGTGTCTTTTGTTAGGCATGTTTGGGGTGTCGTGGTTGATGCCTAGATCTACGAGAGGATTGATGGAGGCTTGGAGAGAATGCTTTGTGGGAGGTCATGCTAGTAGGTTTTGGAGGATGGCACCGTTGTTCTTATGCTGGTGTCTGTGGAGGGAGTGGAACAATAGATCCTTTGAAGGAAAGGAATCCTCAATTGTTGTTCTTAAGTCAACTTTTATTACTTCTTTATGCTTTTGGGGTTCTGGAAGGCATTGTTCCTGCCTGAAGGAGACAATTGATTTTATTTCTTCCTTGGGTCCAAAGGGTCCTTTTGTTGCTCGTGGGATGCGTTCTCCTTTTGAACATTATTTATTGAATTTGCTTAATTATCAAAAAAAAAAAAAAAAAAGAAATAGGAGATCACATGATGAAAAGGAAAATCATATTGGGTTGCTGAAATTCTCTATTCTTAGCACTCTTTTTTGTTGGGTTTTAGGAAGAAATTGTAAATCATTGGATAAGCTTGTAGAATTTTTGGATCTGATGAGGGTTTAGAGGCCCTCTTTGGCCTTCTTTTGTTTTTGAGGGATGCGTTCCCCTTTTGAACGTCTTTTAATAAATTCTTACTTATCAAAAAAACAAATCATTTACTCTAAAAGCTTAAGCTGGTAGAGAGGATGTAACTTCAATATTTAAATCCTTCAACACACCCCCTTATGTGCCTTCTTTTGGTTTACGTGTTTTAATTTTTAATTATCAGGGTGACGGTGAGGTTTGAGCACAGGACGTTGCCTTCTCTAATACCATGTTTAGCAACCATCATCTAAAAGCTTAAGTTGTTTGAAATGGTGTAACTTTAATATTTAAATCCTTCGATAATCCTTTTAAACTTTACTTATTAAAAAATTCATAAAGAAAATGATACACATCTTACTCTCTTTCACAACAAAGCTTCAAACTTGAGCATCGGAGCTTGACTACCAGTGAGCCTTCTTTTTAAATAATTCTCTTTCTCTAGCTTTTTCTTTTCTTTTTGTCCTCTTCCTATCACAAATCACTTTTTCCTCTATAGATTCTCTCTTTTATAATCAACAAACCGCAATTCTTTTCTCAATTAAACCTTATTTCTCCTTATTTTTTTATTTTTTTTCGTTAACTAATTCTCTCCTAATAGAATTCTCTCTCTCTCTCTCTCTCTCTCTCTTTTTCATTCTTTGTACAAGTGTAATCTTTTGTTGTAGTTACAAATTTAGAATTATCTTTTATTATCCAATTGTCTCTCTCCTCTTCTTTTTTTCATTCTTTGTACAAGTGTAATCTTTTGTTGTAGTTATGGATATAAATTACAACAAATTTTATAAAGGGACTTAGCCTGATCTGCCCTTTTTTGTCTTGTCAAACGAGAGTTGTTATAGTTCATTAGTTATTGTGATCTGGGATTTTTTATTCTTGCATTTGATGAATAGTAGTCTTATAATATATTATCACATATAAAAATATATATCTATTAGTCGTCATGTCCATTATTTAATTTTTTAAGATTTGTTTTGTTTTTCTGTCTGTGTCGTGTCATATTCATGCTTCTTAGTATTAGAAATAGCTAGTTATTGGTAGAAAGGAATATAGCTCTTAGGAAGTTTAGCTCCTATGGTGTGGATAGAATGATCAACTCTCACGAATGACAAAGGGTATGCACGCAACTTGCAATTCCCTACTACACTCGGTAGCAGTGTTTTATGCTAGCCTGCATGACTTTAATTGAAAAAGGTTAAGATTTAAACTTCCCCTTGGCCTATGGTGAAGCCATGCTCTGGATCTGTGATCATGCTTCATTTAGGATGGCTCCTTTGAAGCCCAGAGTGATGTACTGAACTACTGATAAGAACTAGTTGCAGACATTACTTGTCACCAAAAAAAAAATGAAGATATAGGTCATTTTGGCACTGTCTGATCATGATTATATTTTATGTAGTTGGAAAAAGAAAGTATGATCAGCAGATACCATGGAATCAATTTACAAAATTTTGACTAATTAAATGCTTAGGGTCACAGCAAAATGTTGAAACTTGTGGTAGAATGTCAAAAGACATGAAATGTGAATCGCATCAGCTTATTATTGGCGATATTATGTTGCCATTCATTGGTTGACAATATTGTTAGAGGATTAGTTTTATTTTTGAGGGCAGTCTTGTCCTTTCCCTCAGTTTATTAGTTTAGGTTATTTTATATTCTTATATATTGTATTACTTTGTATCATCGAATAACAGCAACTACATATTTCTTCACTGCAATGGTCTGCAATTAGGATTTCAATTGCTTTTGCGATGCAATTTGGCATGCCTGCAATTTGCTGCAATATTTAGGATTGCAATGATACTGAGTTGAGAGATACGATTTGAACCAAATAGAAAGCTCTGGGTTGCGATGCAATGCAAACAAGTTGCTGCTATTACGAAAGAACAGTGAACTATGCAATGGGCTTCGACTGTTGCAAGGCGCTGGGATCAATTGAACAGAGACTATGCAAAAGTTGCAATTGCTGATTAGGGTTTTCGAGTTCCTGCGATTAGGGTTTGCGAGTTCCTGCGATTGCGAGATGCTGCTGCAATAAAAGTTGTGATGGGTTGTGATTATGGGTTGCGATAATGCTGCAATGCAAACAGTACTGCAAAGAGAGAGGATGAAAATGCTGCGATCTGTTAGAATTGCGAACAGAGATGCTGGTTGTGTGCGATGCAAACCAGAAGAGAAGATATCCAAGTAGTGAAGAGAGAGAAATTGCAAGTCCAAGATCGTCAATTTGTGGTAGCTGCTGCAATTCTGACCGATTGTGAGAGACAGTGGAACTAGGGTTCATAATTACTGTGAGAGAAGGTGCCAAACGAAACACAAAATCGATGCTATGTTGTAAGACTTGATGCAATTGCTGTAATGAAGCTTGATGCAATTTGCTTTATGGAATACTGCTCTGATACCATGTTAGATTTATGCAAACAGTAAAGAGAAGAGAAGAAATCTGTAGTTGCTGTTATTTGATGATGCAAAGTAATACAATATATAGGATTATAAAATAACCTAAACTAATAAACTGAGGGAAAAGACAAGACTGCCCTCAAATATAAAACTAATCCTCTAACAAGTATAACTTGGCTGAAATTGCACTTTTTGAAGCAGGAATTTTAGAATCGAAGTAGTTTGGTGAGTTACAATGATTTCCTATGCTGAAACCTAAATATTTGCAAAATGCTTTATTAGTGTTAGCATGTATTTTGTTTCTGTCTCAAGTGAGATCCATCACGTTGGCCACTATTTGCTACTATTGACTCTGACGATTTCCATTCTGTGTAGTGATGGCATCATAAAAGATCTTACTGGAAAGGCTAGAGAACTTGCACAATTCCTGAAAATGAACCAAGCCAATGAAGAGAACAGCCTCGATGCCCCTCCAAACATTCCTTTGAAGCGAAAGCGGGGTCGCCCAAAGAAAGATCAGAGCATAAACCGTGGGGAGAGTGCTCCTGTGCCACCTGGATTTGAAGGATTGAATAGGAACCGACCCCAACAAGTTGATCCAATTGATGATGGAAATAATGGCATGGTGGGTCAGGTAGTCACAGGAGTCGTGGAGGCAGCATTTGATGCTGGTTATTTGCTCAATGTTAGGATTGGCAACTCCAATATCTACCTGAGGGGTGTTGTCTTCAAGCCAGGACATCATGTTCCGATCTCAGCAGGAAATGATGTAGCACCACATGTTCAGATGATTAGGAGAAATGATATTCATCTGCCAACAGAAAATCAAACTCGTGTCCGTGGTCACAAAGCTCGATCCAGAGAAAGAAATGAACAGCATGTCAATCTTGGTGGAAACGAAGCTACTCTTCTACTGAATGGATCACAACTTACAAGTCAGATGCATAGACATGCTCCTCGAACTGAGAGCCCGAAGTCCTCAAAAAGAAAACGCGTGACTTCAGTGGCAGCACCTGATGTTCCTCTAGTGGGCTCGAGAGGCACAGTGGTGCCTGTTATACTCCAGCCAGTCAATTTATCTAATGCATTAACAAATGCCCAGCAAATACCTCCAGTTGCATCCCTGGCTGCTCAAGTGGTGCCCTCAAAAGGCAAACAGATTGAGACGGGTGCAAGCCAAGAGCTGCACACGCAATCTCAAACCTACTATCACATAACACCGAGAAGTGTGCAAATTGACATTGGTCCTTCTCGTCAAGGTACTTCAGAAGTCCTGCATGGGGAAGAAGCCCAGGCAATGAAATTGACCAGTGTTTCTATGCCAGGTGAAATTAATGAGATGGTTCAAGTTTCTTCACATTTCTCTGAAATGCAGTCTGAGAAAAGTAAGGTCACCGGTATATCGTCAATGGAAGATTCTAGGTTAACCTCGAATGAGCCTCTTTTTATCCAGCCGCTGCAAACTATTCATTCTGATGTTCATAATCAATCTGCACCTGTTTCTAAACCTTTGGAATATAGCAGAACTGGCAGAATGACTCAGCTTTTGCAGGTAAGCTGAAGCTTAAATTCAAAGATATATTTAACTTGAAAATTGCCAATTATGTGCTGAAATCATGCACTTTGTGAAGTTTTTGCAGGAAAAAATGACAGCGAACCAGGTGTCTCCGATTGAACGCGTGGACATAAATTCTAGACTTGAATCTGATGAATCAAGGAGCCCAGAAACTGATCCTGGAAATGAAGAAACTGTTCAGTGAAACACACATTCTCAGGCATCAAGTGTCTAATTACAATAGATCTCCTGCCTTGACATGTATAGGATCGCAATTTTGTACTACCTCCAGAGCTCAGCCAGAGGAATCCCGTCGAATCAGACATATTCTGTGAACTTTTGGGAACTGAATTCATGGAAAGGCTGCAAAGGTGGAATCCTTGTTCTGTTGTAGCTCAGATAGAACAGCTAGTGTTACATCTAAGACTGGTGTTTGGATTTATGATCCTAAAGAAAAGCTAACCTTTTTTTGTTCACTTTTGGTAGTTGAAATATAGAACATGTAAGTGGACAGCATGCTGCTACATACATGCCTGGCTTCTATGCTTTAGTTATAATTATCTCTATCAGTACATAGTTTACTGTAAAGGTTTCAGATGCAATTGCTTCAGCATTTCCTGTGTGGCCTAGCAGTTTGGAGGTTCTCGTCTTTTTTAAATATTAAATTTGTCTGTCTTGGGATTGTCTTAGTCGAAAGGTCACTTGGCCCTGGTGCTTCATGAAGCAGTAGGTCTGAGGTTCAATTCCCACCTGAGTGCAAACAATTCTTTGGTGTCATGCCTGCGCGGCCATATTCCATGACTTACCTGGCCTGGAGTGGGAAGGCACCCTTCTTGGATCCTTGAGGATTAGTCAGGGCAACCCCAGATTAAGGGTGCAACTTGGGTTGGGCAACTGGAACCCAACCCGAGCCCGCCTGATTTTTCGTGGGCTTGGACAATTATTTTTACAAATAGAGTGGGTCTAGGTTGAAAATTTTCAACCTAAATTTAATTAGGTTTGGGCTTGAGTTAACGTACTAGTAACCAGAGCAAATCAAAACTCAAATTTTAATATTATTTTCATATATATTTTTAATTTTAAATATATTAAATATAATATTTAAACTATGATTACTTTTTTTTCTTTACAGCTTCATGGTTAAATCTCAACTTATTGTATCTAACATTTAAGACAATTAATTTTCTAAGAATTTGTTTGTAATTTATTCATAATTTATAAAATGTCTAATTTTTTTTTTTTTTTTTTTTTTTTTAAGAGGAATTTAATCAAAAATTAATTCAAGATCATATTAAATTTTGTTGGTCCTAAGTTACCTTAAGGAATGTTTGTCTACTTAATGTCAAAAAGTGTAGTTTCAGTGGCTTCAAGTATGAATTCTATCTGCATTGTGCTTAGAAATAAGGTCCAGGGGTAGTATTGTTATTTACTATTGTGTAACACATTTTATTCACTAGTATGTAATAGTGCATTACAATGTATCAGCCTGTGTTGATTGAAATCACTGTGACAGTGGAGGTTCAGCACTTTAAATTCAACTATAGGTACTCATAGGGGTATTATGGTTTTTTCTCAGTTGTATTCCAGTTATATACATTTGCTTTGATAGTTGCATTGCACTGAATAACCTTGATTGTACCTACATTGTGAATTATAAAGTCTCAGGACTATCTATTAGCTGAGAAGGGTTTAATTTGTTACAAGGGTATTTTGGTCCTTTTCATTTGTATTCAAGAGTGTGACACGTCTCAGTGGTCCTAGAGGGATAGTATATGCAAGAATATTGCATTTAATATTGCATTCTTAGAGGCTAAGTTTGGAGAAAAATGGAATTTATAGCCTTGTATTGTGTGTGTATGAATTCTGGTGTGCAAGGTGACAAAACAGCTGAGGTGGCTTGCTATGATTGGTTCTCTCTCCTGAAAATATTTGAAATATACTCTATCAATTATTGGCTAAAGGTGACAGGTGTATATCCTTGGTGTGTGAGGCCTTGTGTATTCAGTGACTCTATAAATATGCTGTTATAGTGGTTTTTAAGGTTTTAAGCCTTATGAAAAATCTGAAAAGTGAGCTGCAGCTAGTATTGTCTCGAGAGCCTTGAATGAACAAGTTTTTCTGAGTGTATTGATGATGATTCATGCTAGAAAAACTCATTGAATCAAGCCTTGTAAGTGTATTTGCTGAGGAGATGTTGCTGTTGTTAGTTTCACTGGTGCAAAGGTTGGTTTGAGTAGTGATTTTGTGTTTCCAGCTGCTGTGGTCTATTATGAGGGTTGACACAGGTATAATTTAACTAATTACACTTGCTCAGTACTGTGTTTATGTTGAAAACATGCTGAAAATGAATTTGAGCTGTGAGATCACTTGTTAAGCTTATTTTCTAGTTTAATCTTATATTCAAGTACTGATTGATCATACTTAGCTATTTCATGAGTTATTAAACTGCTAGCAAGTATATTTTGATGAATCAAGATTGTTGAAGTTGGTCTTGTGATAGAAAAATGGTATGCTTTGATTTTGAGTGTTCAAACCCTAAGGCTAAAGCTGTATTGTGCTGATACAAGGACTGTGACTAAACTTTAATAGATACTCATGCTATGTTTGATTGTTTTAAGCTATGAACATGAGTACGACAGTGAAAGAAGACTGTGTAAGGTGCTAGTAAATTGATCTCGAAAGGAAATTCGCATTTTACCCTTCAAACCCTAATTGCAGCAGATTGTGGTTTTGAGGCAGTAACTTGGAGTTCTGTGTTGTCAAGCCTATTCTAATTGTTGGAAAGACTTGTTTATACTTATTTACATCTGTAATGGTGTGTGTGGTGAGCTTTGAGAGCTGTTTGGGTCCAAGCAAGGTTGCTTAGGACATGGGGAGTGCCTGTAAGCACTGTGGTGTACTAATGTGTGTATTGGTTGTGAAAACTAGTGTCTATTCCTATACTTGAATGTGTACAGAGTGTGAGACAACTGAGTGTGTAACAAGATACATACAGCTAGTAGTGGATTGCATATTGGCTGAGGCCAGGAACCAAGGTTTTCCTTAGTTGAGAAGGTTTCCTTGTAAACCTTGTATGCACTTATCCTTAGGTACTTGTTTTGATTAATGTAAGGATTTAAAATTGAACATAGTTTAACCAATTCACCCCCCTCTTGGTTCAACAATTGGTATCAGAGCCTTGGTCTGCATTGTGAGGTTTTCATAAGCCTGTAGTTGATCCTTGCAATGGATGAAGGTCAACTTATTAACAAAGCTCCAGGGTTTGAAGGTTCAAACTATGATTCTTGGAAAACTAGAATGGAAGCTTTCTTAATGTCTCAGTCCTATGATGTTTGGTATGTTACCATACATGGTGTTGTGATTCTCAATCCTGATAATCCCTCTGCTAAAGATAAACTTGTTGTAGCTAATGATGGAAAGGCCAAACATGTTCTCTTCAGTGCCTTGAGGCAACAAGAGTTCACTAGAGTTAAAAATTCTAAAACAGCCAAGGAAATGTGGGATTCTCTTCAGGCAACTCATGAGGGAAATAATGTTATTATGGAAAACAAAATTCAGCTCTTCCAAGTACAATATGAAGTATGCAAGATGGAAGAAAAAGAAACTGTTGCAGATTATATGTTCAAGATCAATGACCTTGTTAACAATATGAGAGCTCTTGGTGAAGATATTAAAGATGTTGATGTTTGTAAGAAGATACTCAGGTCACTCACTTCTAGATTCAATGCCAAGGTGACAATTCATGAAGACAAAGATCTTTCTCAGATGAAGATTGATGAGCTTCAGGCATCTCTCACTGCCTATGAGATGAGCATTGGTGTTCCAACAGTTCACAGAAGAGTAGCTGCTCTCAAAACCAAGGAAGTTATTGAAGAAACTGAAACAAAGTCTAAGGATGATCTTGAAGAAAATGAGGTAGCCTACTTTTCTAAGAAATTCAGAAAGTTCAGGTTCAAAAAGAAGAATCAGCTACAAAATTTAACCTATTATCGTTGTGGTAAGCCTGGTCATGTTGTGTCTAATTGTCCTAACTCAAAGGGGTAAAATCAGAAGAAGAATAAGGGAACAAATTACAAAGGAAGGTTTGGTAGAAAAACTCTTATCTTAGACTGGGATGCAGCTCCTGAAGAATATAAACCTGAGGAAGCACAAGAAGATGAATGTCTCTTTATGGCTATCCTTGAAACAACACAAGTTCCAGTTCAAGTTAAAGAAGATAGTGACATTGAGATTGAGGAAATTCTAGAAGAATGTGAAAGGCTTGCAGTGAAGTGTAATGAACAGAAGTCTCAAATAAAAAGGCTCAATTCAGAATTGTTAAAATCTAAACAAGTTCTCACAAAACACTTCAAACTTAAACTGTCAATTATGTGCTTAATTTCTCTTACCTTTCAAAGCCTATTGAAACCTCAAATCAACACTCAGTGGTCTCCTAAGAAGTGTAAAGAAGAATTGTCTCTTATTCTTGAAGAAAGGTCCTTAAAGATGGCTGAGATCTAAAAACAATCCACTAAGCAAATTGGGAAGACTGGAATTGGCTATGTGTGTGATACAGCTACAAAGTTCGACCAAACTCACTGTGTTTGTTAAAGCACCAACTGGTGAAGTGTATGTAAGGTATCTAGTTATAAAACCCCTAAGATCAAAGTTTGATTTACTTGACAACAACTTCAATTCCTCAAGACTAAACAGAAGTGATTTTGTTACAACATCTATAAGGAACTTCAAAGTGACTAAGATGCACATGAAGAAGTCTGACATAACTCAAGCTCAGAAAGTCAAGAACAAAGATTTTATTGTGAAATACAGAATGATGTGGATTCCCAAGCAGCTGAATTCAGTAACTTACTTGTGTATATAACTTTCAAGGCTTGTAACAAAGTGGACAGATGGTATATTGATAGTGGCTACTCAAGACTCATGACAGATGATGGTTTTAAATTTATCACTCCGAAATAATTTGATGGTGGAGATATGATCTTTGAAGACAATCAAAAGGCTAAAATTGTTAATATTGGTACTGTGAGCAAATCTGAAGAATTACCAGAAATTCAAGAAGTTCTACTTGTTGAAGGACTCAAACACAACCTTCTTAATGTTAGTCAATTATGTGACAGTGGGAAGACTGTGTGTTTTGATAAAGAAAAGTGCAATGTGGTTAATCTTAAATCAAAACAGGTTCTCTTCTTAGCATGTAAATCATTTGGAAATCTTTATACTATCACTGAAGAATTCCAAGCTACTCAATGCAACTTGACAACCTCTGATAAAGCTAATTTGTAGCACAAGAGACTAGGGCATCTTCATTCAAGAAATTTGTCCAAGATTTTGAAGTTAAAAGCTGTCAAAGGACTACCTGAACTCAACTTTAAAGATGATCATCTCTGCAAAGCTTGTCAACAAGGAAAACAAACCAAAGTTTCATTTCCTTCTAAAGAAATCAACACCTCAAGAGCACTTGACTTGATACACATGGATCTTTGTGGTCCTACCAGAACTACTAGCATTGGTGGAAGTAAGTACTTCATGTTTCTCATTAATGATTTTAGTAGAATGGTGTGGGTTTACTTCTTAAAAGAGAAATCTGAAGCTGTTACACACTTCATTAAGTTTATTAATCATGTTGAAAATGAAAGAAGTAGCACTGTGAAGAG